GACGTCCATATGATCATAGTCATTGGCTTCAAAGTCTCACGATGACATGGAGGAAAAGAGCAACATCAGCTGATCTGCTCTACTCTTCCANCGCTTAAAGGTGGGGGTCCGCGGACCGGCCATAGAGCCCATAGAGTTAAAGGTGTTGGCCGTTAGCTGTAAAAATCCATAGATTAGCCGCACCGTTATATAAGCCGCAGCGTCGAAAAATAGGGAAAAAGGCGTGGCTTATAGTCCGAAAATTACGGTACCTCTATAGAAATATATGTATCTATATATAATAGAAAAATATACCAAAAAGCGCCTGACATGTTTCAATGTTTTGGAGTTGCATATCAAAACTGGTCAAACCACAACACTGACTGTAAGCCCTCAACCATCACAGCTGACAGATTCAAGCTACATCAGCTCCAAGTGGACAACAACACTGCCTTCAAACACTTCTCAGAGCAAGTGTGGATTAAAAAAAACAGCGCTACGTTTTCTGTTCACGATATCTCCAGTATTGGTCGATTACAGCCCCTACCAACTGATCTCCGTGTATTAAGTCATGAAATAGAAATGGTTAAAACAGTTTGAAATGTGTCCTGTTGCACTTAAAGGTGGTGATGAGAAGAAACAGACATAAAAACCGGTACTAGTGTGGGAGTTTCTGTACAGATACAGTATGCTGATTTAAATTCTACTAAAGATATCAAATGTCTTACATTTAAAAAATATTGTTTTATAATAGAATAGCTTTGAATTCTTTATTTCTTTACTAGTCACATATCATGTTTGTTTTCTGTTGACATCACTTTCATGCGTCAGAGGAGAGGAGTTACAGCACGCAGCAGGTGTAGGCGATATTAGGAGCCCCCACCTCCCTCTCTCTCTCTCATCTCTTCTTTAAATACCCTCACCCCTCAGAAACAGACCTGGATCCCTGAACCTGGAACAGAAACAACTCGGGACAATGACACAAGGAAACAATGGCCCCGCTCTACCCAAACACAGAATAGGCCAACATAAAGGGACTCGCCTATTCCCCCCATAACATCGAAAGAACTTTAAGGCATATTTTAAGGAACCACAACTTCCTCTTACACTCTCGAAATACATTTGGTGAAGTCACATCTGTTGCTGCAGATACTTTCATTACTATTCATCGTTTTCAAATGGAACAACGACTACATCTGAGGTCATACAAATCGCTACTTGATACTTAGAAACCCACATTTGTGAAAAGTGATATCTTAAGATTGTTGACATAAATACATTGTGGCTTGCTTTATAGAGTTCTGAGTCAACTTCGGTCAGCTGTTTCCAAAACTCAATCCAGTGTGAGATGTTTGCAAAGATAGGAAAGATAGAGTGAATTGAATTGTAACTGTGTTGGATAATACTGGATCATTTGAACTCGACGTACTCCTAAAACACGTTGAAAAAGATACATCTAAAGAAATGAAAATCTGTTTTTGGTTGGCGTACTCGCATCACATGGATATGGATAAGTGTTGAATAGGGGATGAGTAGATACTACTTGCTTTGAAGTATTACAGCTATTACAACTAGCATAAATTAAAAACTACAGACTACCTACAGATGTGATTGACAGTTGTTTTTGTACAAATGTGTTGGCAGATGAAACTTTGAAATGAAGACTGTGGTACCAAACGTATTCCTAAAAACTCTGGAGGTCTTCTGGTTTGCTGACTGGGTTGAATAGATATTTCAATTTGGGTCAGTTCATGGTATTAAAGGTCATTCATTTCAATGAGGTTAGTAGTAGGACCTGAATATCAATAGGTCAATTCAGATTAATTAGAAAGCAGCTTTCTCTCATCACA